ATATCTGAAATCATGGGGGGGAAGAACTGGCCTTGGCTGAACCATTTCCTCTTATGTTCAGCATATCTGAAATCATGGGGGGGAAGAACTGGCCTTGGCTGAACCATTTCCTCTTATGTTCAGCATATCTGAAATCAAGGGGGAAGGATCTGGCCTTGGCTGAACCATTTCCTCTTATATTCAGCATATCTGAAGTTGAGTGGGGAGGAACTGGCCTAGGCTGAACCATTTCCTCTTATGTTCAGCATATCTGAAATCATGGGGGGAAGAACTGGCCTTTGCTGAACCATTTCCTCTTATATTCAGCATATCTGAAGTTGAGTGGGGAGGAACTGGCCTAGGCTGAACCATTTCCTCTCATGTTCAGCATATCTGAAGTTGAGTGGGGAGGAACTGGCCTAGGCTGAACCATTTCCTCTCATGTTCAGCATATCTGAAGTTGAGTGGGGAGGAACTGGCCTAGGCTGAACCATTTTCTCTTATGTTCAGCATATCTGAAGTTGAGTGGGGAGGAACTGGCCTTGGCTGAACCATTTTCTCTTATGTTCAGCATATCTGAAGTTGAGTGGGGAGGAACTGGCCTATGCTGAACCATTTTCTCTTATGTTCAGCATATCTGAAGTTGAGTGGGGAGGATCTGGCCTAGGCTGAACCATTTCCTCTTATGTTCAGCATATCTGAAGTTGAGTGGGGAGGAACTGGCCTATGCTGAACCATTTCCTCGTATGTTCAGCATATCTGAAATCAAGGGGGGAGGAACTGGCCTTTGCTGAACCCTTTCCTCTTTATGTTCAGCATATCTGAAGTTGAGTGGGGAGGATCTGGCCTAGGCTGAACCATTTCCTCTTATGTTCAGCATATCTGAAGTTGAGTGGGGAGGATCTGGCCTAGGCTGAACCATTTCCTCTTATGTTCAGCATATCTGAAGTTGAGTGGGGAGGATCTGGCCTATGCTGAACCATTTCCTCTTATGTTCAGCATATCTGAAATCAAGGGGGGAGGATCTGGCCTAGGCTAAACTATCCCCTCTTATGTTCAGCATATCTGAAGTTGAGTGGGGAGGAACTGGCCTAGGCTGAACCATTTCCTCTCATGTTCAGCATATCTGAAGTTGAGTGGGGAGGAACTGGCCTTGGCTGAACCATTTCCTCTCATGTTCAGCATATCTGAAGTTGAGTGGGGAGGAACTGGCCTATGCTGAACCATTTCCTCTCATGTTCAGCATATCTGAAGTTGAGTGGGGAGGATCTGGCCTATGCTGAACCATTTCCTCTCATGTTCAGCATATCTAAAGTTGAGTGGAGAGGATCTGGCCTATGCTGAACCATTTCCTCTCATGTTCAGCATATCTGAAGTTGAGTGGGGAGGAACTGGCCTTGGCTGAACCATTTCCTCTCATGTTCAGCATATCTGAAGTTGAGTGGGGAGGATCTGGCCTATGCTGAACCATTTCCTCTCATGTTCAGCATATCTGAAGTTGAGTGGGGAGGATCTGGCCTATGCTGAACCATTTCCTCTCATGTTCAGCACATCTGAAGTTGAGTGGGGAGGATCTGGCCTATGCTGAACCATTTCCTCTCATGTTCAGCATATCTGAAGTTGAGTGGGGAGGATCTGGCCTATGCTGAACCATTTCCTCTCATGTTCAGCATATCTGAAGTTGAGTGGGGAGGATCTGGCCTATGCTGAACCATTTCCTCTCATGTTCAGCATATCTGAAGTTGAGTGGGGAGGATCTGGCCTAGGCTGAACCATTTCCTCTCATGTTCAGCATATCTAAAGTTGAGTGGGGAGGATCTGGCCTACGGTAAGTTAAAAATTTTAGGGGGCGAAGATCTGGCCATGGGTGGGGAAGAACTGGCCTAGGATATTCCTTCCCCGGGAAGGTTTAGCCTAGGCTATTTTGTCCCTGGGGAAGGACAGGCCAGGGGAAGGTTTAGCCTGGTACACCAGTAATTACTAGAACATTAGATTATAGTTCAAGTCCAAAGTTTCACAAACTGCCCCCAGGATGTTATATAGATGAGGTTGATCAATGGGATCAAAGAATCCAAATGTCTTAACTAATTATTATTGAGGTTTATTGTTTCGGAAAAATTGCATTTAAATTTGCCATATTAAGCGCCTCTTCCAAAGAATGTCTCAGGACCAACTTCTAGACCAGTCTATAAGTAATCATTTTGAACTTTACCTGACAGTTCTTGTTTTCTTGTGTATATTATAGATATTTAAAGAAAACAGCAGCATGGTATATGATTGTCTTGTAACGATTATTCAAAAAGCTTTAGTTTCATCGACAGTTGAACTAAAATTTGTTCACTACCGCTCGATCTCGTTTAGCTCATTTGCATGGTTCTATTTTCTCCCCTTTGTCAGTTATCTAGTCATGTGAGATCAAATAAAAAAATGATTTGTTTGACTTTACGTGTTTACACTAAGGATGAATAAAACATACACAACTCAAATAATTTAGTCATGCCTGGTCAAACTGGGTTTAGAACTGATCAGCTTAACATGGTATATTTGGTAAGGTGTGAGTGTTTCCAACTAGAAAAGTCATGGGTAACAAAGACGGAACAGTCTTGGGTCAGTGGCAATCCACTATTTTCTTGTGTATAATGCACACTTTTTTTCCAACGGTAAATGGTCAAATTGTTCCATGTGAAAAAAAATAACTGACAATAGCGATGAGCTGCTACGCTTAGGGTTATTATTATTTTAAATATATTTAGTAAAAGCTGCAACTTAAATAACAAAATATTGGAATATATTATTCCTGAAAAGAAAATAGTTTCAGATACAATTTTTGCTGATCCTTGCATAAAATCCTGTAAAGTAATGTCATTGGGTGTGTCTTGACCAAATCACTGGTAGATTCCAAGAAAATGTGTGTTCAGCTGATTGCTGTTTCCGACTTAGTTTACGAAAAAATACACAAGGTAATCTTAATCCCTGGATGTAAAACAATGCCTAGCAGAACAAAAAATACAATTTAAAAGGTAAATCAACATGTCTGGTGATTTTTTATCTCAAATTTCAAATTTGTACTGACAAAATTTCTTATCACCCGTTCGTTTACCAGAATTCGCTGAAGGGGTACAGTGTAATTTTTTTCTGCGCATACTATTCGAAATGTTTTTCCCAAATACTGAATCCCCTAGAGGGGGGTCTGATTATACTTGGGTGCACACAATCTCAAGAAAATACGGTAGCTATGTTGCCATTCATTCAAACCCACTTTGTTATTAATTTTCATAACCAATACCCTAAGTACACTGTCTCCCATTCAACTAATTAAAACATCTAGTACCGGAAATGGTCACCAGAACGTCCCTTTAAGGATAGCCTTATGAATGAGTTGTCTGATTGGTTACTCAGACTGACCATCAAGGCTGAGTAATGACCCTAAGGTCCATCTCTGTGTAGTTCCCGTGGTAAGTCCCATGCTGTACTGATGCAATGTGGTATAACTCCACATCAACCCCACTGTGTTGACATGTGCTCAACAACAATCACCATCAGAGAAGGCATCCCTCAGTGTTGCAAAACATGTAGTACCAGTCTGTCAACTAGTCAACAGTCATTTACAAAAACGTACATGTTTTGTCCTATGATTTTTTACTAAAGGGACCATTACCATGAACTTGATGATTTTAGGCAATTTGGGTAAAATGTACATTGTCCAATTTTTATATTTTTTAAGTCCACCTCCCCTCTTATTCTTAAAGTCGGATGTACTTTAACATTAGCTATAACGTTAAAAAAAGCATTCAAAGTAATTTTCTCTTTATAATGTCAGTGAAAAACAAATGTTATGAGCAAATCTTTATTATTTTGAATAATATTAACCTGATTGGGAATTTGCTTACTCCAACTTGGACATTTTGACCAACCTTTGCTGTAATCGTGAGAGGTTCAGTCAGTTGACCTGTGAGAATGCCAACATCAATTGCTGTATGTAGTTAGCTGTAAATTCACCTTTTATTGCCACTGGGACTAGTCACTACTGTGGACTGCCTATTTAACAATAAGAATAATTAGAGTGAGTGAGTGAGTGAGGTTTTACACCGCTTTTAGCAATATTCCAGCAATATCACGGCGGGGTACACCAGACATGTGAATCATTAGACAGAACTGCTAAATCATTCACTGCCTGTCTGGAAATATTAGCCACTCACTCGAAAATCCTGTCTGCCAAATTTTCAACACAAAAGAAGTTTTTTAGCATTGTCTATGGCACCACAATTCGTTATTTAGAGTTGCCTCCCTTAGATGTGTCAGAATCATGTGATGATGCAATTGAAATTTGAATCTGCGATTTAACTGGATTATGATTTGACTTGACCAGCTGTTGACAGCATCTTGCCTTTAGGTTTCACCATCACCATCATCCCTTCTAGCTGTGCTACCTGATAGTGATACAATAAGATATAACTGAAATACTTTTCAAGCGGCATTAAACCTGCCCAACTCTCTCACTAACTACAAGCTGTTCGACCCGTAAAGATCCGGGATAGAATAGGTCTTCAGCAACCCATGCTTGCCGTAAAAGACGACTATGGTTGTCATAAAAGGCGACTAACAGGATCAAATCGTCAGCCTCACTGACTTGGTTGATGCATATTATCATATCCCAATTGCGTGGATCAATCATGGATGATGCCAATCACTGGTTTGTCTGGTCCAGACTCGTTTATTTACAGACCGCCTTTATATAGCTGGAATATTGCTGAGTGCGGCGTTAAACAACAAACATCACATCACCATCTGTTCCTGACCCTACCTAATAGCAATGGTGTACCAGTGTGTTGATTGATTGCTTGCTATGCAGATTGCCAGACCTGTTACAGGTCATACTGCTGAACTGCCACTGACTATCATTCATCATCTTCATCACGCAAACTATAGCTGCATCCTGCTCTCATAAGATACATATTAACAATATGGATAGGATTACTCATGAACTTTTCTATTATTGATATTCAATGATTAACTTTCAGACCTTCAGCCACTGCAGTAATCGACTACTGCCTCCGGCAATGAATCATATGAATGGTGGAGACAAAGATCTGTGCTGCTATAACTGAGAGTGACAAGTAGAAGCCTGCCTGCATTAAGACTCCCGTGACGTCAGATCCAGTAAGATGGACAACTGGGTGCCTAACCCTAGAGCCAAGCCCTACGTCCCCCGTAGTCGCTTCCAAGGAGGCAATGTGTATGGTCAGCATATTCGCAGTTACAGCAGTAGACGATGTATATCCAAAGTGTTGCAGGTAAGGTTATTGTTTTTGTTACCTGATTTCAGGGATGAGAATTTCATTACATCCAGGGTCATTTTTTGTCATACAAGCCATTATGATTTACGCATAAATCTTTTGGTCCCCTGGCTTACTTTCAGTGTTTTTTATGTAAAAAAGCAACCCCATTCTCATCTCTTGTATTCGAATATAGGACTATATTTATTAAGATGATATTATGTGGCAGTGTAATTTGTTTGTCTCTTGTATTTCAGATAAGTGATTGTTTAGGAAATGGTCTGATTCAGAACATTTACATAGGTAACAGGTCATGTAATGGTTGATGTTAGTTTGGCTGTTTTGCAGAATTAACATTAAACATTGTTACATAAAGGTTGATTTCATGATGGTTTAGAGTGTTGATTGTAATGTTACATAATGGTTGATTGCAGGGTAGATTGGTTGACAGATGGGCTGGTTTATAGAGTTCATTTTAATGAATTTACACAATGGTTGGTCACAGGGTGGACTGGTTTAGAGAGGTGACTGTAATGTTACACAATGGTTGGTTGCAGGGTGGGCTGGTTTGGAGAGGTGCTGGTTTAGAGAGTTGACTGTAATGTTACACAATGGTTGGTTACAGGGTGGACTGGTTTAGAGAGGTGCTGGTTTAGAGAGATGCTGGTTTAGAGAGTTGACTGTAATGTTACACAATGGTTGGTTACAGGGTCGACTGGTTTAGGGAGGTTCTGGTTTAGGGTGTTAACTATAGTGTTACGCAATGGTCGGTTACAGGGTGGACTGGTGTAGAGAGGTGCCTGTTTAGAGAGGTGCTGGCTTACAGAGTTAACTGTTACGTTACACAATGGTTGGTTGCAGGGTGGACTGGTTTAGAGAGGTGCTGGTTTACAGAGTTGACCGTCACGTTACACAATGGTTTGTTGCAGGGTTGACTGGTTTAGAGAGGTGCTGGTTTAGGGAGTTGACTGTCATATTACACAATGGTTGGTTGCAGGGTGGGCTGGTTTAGATAGGTTCTGGTTTAGGGAGTTGACTGTAATATTACACAATGGTTGGTTGCAGGGTTGGCTGGTTTAGAGAGGTGCTGGTTTACAGAATTGACCGTCAGTTACACAATGGTTGGTTACAGGGTGAACTGGTTTAGAGAGGTGCTGGTTTTGAGAGTTGACCATCACGTTACACAATGGTTTGTTGCAGGGTGGACTGGTTTAGATAGGTTTCTGGTTTAGAGAGTTGACTGTGATTTTACACAATGATTGGTTACAAGGCGGATTGGTGTAGAGAGATGCTGGTTTAGAGAGGTGCTGGCTTAGAGAGTTGACTGGTACGTTACACAATGGTTGGTTGCAGGATGGACTAGTTTAGAGAGGTGCTGATTTAGAGAGTTGACTGTAATGTTACACAATGGTTGGTTGCAGGGTAGACTGGTTTAGATAGGTTCTGGTTTAGGGAGTTGACTGTAATGTTACACAATGGTTGGTTGCAGAGTGGGCTGGTTTAGATAGGTTCTGGTTTACAGAGTTGACTGTAATGTTACACAATGGTTGGTTACAAGGTGGACTGGTGTAGAGAGGTGCTGGTTTAGAGAGGTGCTGGCTTAGAGAGTTGACTGTTATGTTACACAATGGTTGGTTGCAGGGTGGACTGGTTTAGAGAGGTGCTGATTTAGAGAGTTGACTGTAATGTTACACAATGGTTGGTTGCAGGGTGGACTGGTTTAGAGAGGTGCTAATTTAGAGAGTTGACTGTTATGTTACACAATGGTTGGTTGCAGGGTGGACTGGTTTAGAGATGTGCTGATTTAGAGAGTTGACTGTTACATTACACAATGGTTGGTTGCAGGGTGGACTGGTTTAGATAGGTTCTTGTTTAGAGAGTTGACTATAATGTTACACAATGGTTGTTTGCAGGGTGGACTGGTTTAGAGAGGTGCTGATATAGAGAGTTGACTATAATGTTACACAATGGTTGGTTGCAGGGTGTACTGGTTTAGAGAGGTGCTGGCTTAGAGAGTTGACTGTAATGTTACACAATGGTTGGTTACAGGGTGGACTGGTTTAGAGAGGTGCTGGTTTAGAGAGATGCTGGTTTAGAGAGTTGACTGTAATGTTACACAATGGTTGGTTACAGGGTCGACTGGTTTAGGGAGGTTCTGGTTTAGGGTGTTAACTATAGTGTTACGCAATGGTCGGTTACAGGGTGGACTGGTGTAGAGAGGTGCCTGTTTAGAGAGGTGCTGGCTTACAGAGTTAACTGTTACGTTACACAATGGTTGGTTGCAGGGTGGACTGGTTTAGAGAGGTGCTGGTTTACAGAGTTGACCGTCACGTTACACAATGGTTTGTTGCAGGGTTGACTGGTTTAGAGAGGTGCTGGTTTAGGGAGTTGACTGTCATATTACACAATGGTTGGTTGCAGGGTGGGCTGGTTTAGATAGGTTCTGGTTTAGGGAGTTGACTGTAATATTACACAATGGTTGGTTGCAGGGTTGGCTGGTTTAGAGAGGTGCTGGTTTACAGAATTGACCGTCAGTTACACAATGGTTGGTTACAGGGTGAACTGGTTTAGAGAGGTGCTGGTTTTGAGAGTTGACCATCACGTTACACAATGGTTTGTTGCAGGGTGGACTGGTTTAGATAGGTTTCTGGTTTAGAGAGTTGACTGTGATTTTACACAATGATTGGTTACAAGGCGGATTGGTGTAGAGAGATGCTGGTTTAGAGAGGTGCTGGCTTAGAGAGTTGACTGGTACGTTACACAATGGTTGGTTGCAGGATGGACTAGTTTAGAGAGGTGCTGATTTAGAGAGTTGACTGTAATGTTACACAATGGTTGGTTGCAGGGTAGACTGGTTTAGATAGGTTCTGGTTTAGGGAGTTGACTGTAATGTTACACAATGGTTGGTTGCAGAGTGGGCTGGTTTAGATAGGTTCTGGTTTACAGAGTTGACTGTAATGTTACACAATGGTTGGTTACAAGGTGGACTGGTGTAGAGAGGTGCTGGTTTAGAGAGGTGCTGGCTTAGAGAGTTGACTGTTATGTTACACAATGGTTGGTTGCAGGGTGGACTGGTTTAGAGAGGTGCTGATTTAGAGAGTTGACTGTAATGTTACACAATGGTTGGTTGCAGGGTGGACTGGTTTAGAGAGGTGCTAATTTAGAGAGTTGACTGTTATGTTACACAATGGTTGGTTGCAGGGTGGACTGGTTTAGAGATGTGCTGATTTAGAGAGTTGACTGTTACATTACACAATGGTTGGTTGCAGGGTGGACTGGTTTAGATAGGTTCTTGTTTAGAGAGTTGACTATAATGTTACACAATGGTTGTTTGCAGGGTGGACTGGTTTAGAGAGGTGCTGATATAGAGAGTTGACTATAATGTTACACAATGGTTGGTTGCAGGGTGTACTGGTTTAGAGAGGTGCTGGCTTAGAGAGTTGACTGTTACGTTACACTATGGTTGGTTGCAGGGTGGGCTGGTTTAGAGAGGTTCTTGTTTAGGGAGTTGACTATAATGTTACACAATGATTTGTTGCAGGGTGGTCTGGTTTAGAGAGATTCTTGTTTTGAGAGTTGACTATAATGCTACACAATGGTTTGTTGCAGGGTTGACTGGTTTAGAGAGGTTCTGGTTTAGGGAGTTGACTTTAATGTTACACAATGGTTTGTTGCAGGGTGGGCTGGTGCTGGTCCTGTTGGTGACTGTGTTCATCAATATCACCTTTATTCTGGACACCAGCAAGAAACTGCGAGACAACCCACAAAGCACAGGTGAGAGATTCTGGCACATCCTAATCCGAAGTACGGGATATGTCAAAGGGTCAAGGTATTATAAGGCCATTTGGCCCATGGGATATGTATCTAGGTAATGAGAACACCTTTCACAAGTTACAATGAAAGTTTAGATGTGTTCAGAAAAACATGATAAGCCTGAGAAGGGAGAATCAGACTCTTTTCTGACAAAGGCTGCTTTCAGAGGTTTCCAGGAAACAGTTTACTGAATTTGAAGATAAGCAAATCATACACCCAAGATAACTTTCTTAGAAGATGTAGATAAGACCAGTATACTGATATTGATATTGATATGCACTTGTGACATTTTCATTTATTTTTACACAATCGCCCCCCCCCCCCCCCCCCCCCCACACACACACACACACACACACACATAGAGCACAATTAAGCAATCTTTTGCAATTTTTAAGCTGTAGAATGAATATTACTGATTACTTGTGTTTCAAAAGTCAAAATTTGTCTTTTGTCTTGGGTCGGTCCCTGCAAAATAACTGTGACCGAAAAATGTTTCATCTTATTTTAGAATATACACTTCCCAAATCAAATGTAGGTCCTTCCATGCCTAATTATTTAATACTCAAGATAAAAAAATCCACACAACCTCCCCATCTACCCTACTTCATACAAGAGGGTTGCATTGGCAAAACATACATTTTTAATGGTGGCCTAAAAAAACAGTGGAAAAAGTACTTACCTAGATCTGACGAAAACTGACTCAGGCCAGTCACAAACTGCTGATAATATGGACAAGGTTTATGTTTATAATATATATTTTGCTAAAAAGGCATGTGAGTTATGTCATGTTTAAAAGCTGAATGTTGGACAATATTGAAAGCTTGAGACAGCCAACGCTACGCCCTTCACTATGGTGTTGTTTGTGTTCAGATATCCTGATCAGCCAAATGTGTAAATGCTGTCCCTCAGTCTGTGTGCGTCCTATTCAAACCAAGAGCACAGTTTCCACAGATCACTATAGAAGGCAAGGGGACAACTTGGTATCTGTTGTAGAAATATGCGTTGGGTCATATTCTTACTGTGTCATCTTAATTGTAACGTGATGACCCAGTTAAACTGACTGCATCTGTATTCGGCTATTAGATGTCATTTAGAATTGCACAGGTCTCTGAGGCAATAATTATTAGTTTAAATCATAAGTTCTCGATTATGTAAACAATCCAAGAAGTGAGTAAGTATGGTTTGATGGTTTGATGCCGCAGTTAGCAACATTCCTGCAATATCACAGCTGGGGACACCAGGAATGGGTTTCACACATTGTACTCACATGGAGAATTAAACCTAGGCCTTGGCTTAATGAGTCAGCGCTTTAACCACAAGGCTAGCCCAGCGCCCCACAGTCTTGAAGTGTCTTTGAATGGAGTGCAGTAGTGCAATCCTGTTTATTTCAAAGTCTGGACAAAGTTGGACAGGTTTTAATTCACCATTACATGTGGATCTGAATTTCATGATTCATACGACAAATGATATTAAATTCCACTGATAGGAGATCATTTATTTACAGCTGTTAAAGACTAGCAGCATATGTTTCATTTGCGTCATTGTGCTATCCATGGATCAGAATTGATTTTTTTCATTCTTAAACACTGTTAAAAGAGATGTAATATGCTATCATGCCTGTTTGACTGACTCAAGATGACTACCATATGTCGCTGTGTATAAGGCATTTTTTCATACCTAGAATTAGGGAGCTTTAAAGGGGGGTCGTCTTATATACAGGGTTGAAAAGTTTTGATGTTTTTTCCCCCCAACACAAACACATTACCGGAAATACCATGTCAGCAAATCCGTGCTGAAGTACGCATCCTAATCATGCAATTACACTGTCTGGTTACAAAAAGAGAACTTTAGTGGATAGAGAATGGATATATATATCATAAATGCCATACTTTGACTTTCGGAAAGTCATATTTGTTGTAGTTTGACTATTATATTGTTAATTGTTTTTAGCATGAAATAGCAATTGGGTGTTTCACTTGATCAGGGCTCCAGATAAGGTTTTGAGCAACTGTGTATTTACTCCAATGTTTTCATCACATTGGTAATTGAGAGTATTTTCTGGGTATACGATATGTTGTTATTCCCTTGGCTCCAGTCTGTCGGTAAACTTGTCTTTGAACCAGTGTTTAGACTTTTTCTAAAATAATTCTCCTGTTCGGGTGACTTCTAATTTACATCTTTTCGTGTGATTCCAAGCATGTCTGGTGTGTCACGCTGCATAAACAAGACTAGGTCGTAACAGCAATTTGCATGTGGAAGTTACGACATGCAAAACAGTGTTTTTGTGCAATACTCACTGCAGTAGAGGGCGTTGGGTTAGCCTAGTGGTTAAAGCGTTTGCTCATTAAGCAAAACAATGTGTGAAGCCCATTTCTGGTGTCCCCCGCCGTGATATTGCTGGAATATTGCTAAAAGCGGCGTAAAACCATACTCACTCACTCACTCATGAAGCAAAAGACCCAGGTTCAATTCCCCACATGGGTGCCATTTCTGGTGTTCCCCGCCATGATGTTACTGGAATATTGCTAAAAGCGGCAATTACCAGGCTCGCTCACTCACTCACTCACTCACTTACAGATTGGGATGAATGGAATTATGAAATAATCAACAACTAAACATCTTGTATCTTACTGTGTGACTATTGAAAGATCATAGCGTCAGTTATAATTCCGTATCTTCAAAATGATATGTGGACTTTTGTAAACATTTAAACTAGTTACTACTGCATGGTTTTATGCGACGCACAAATATGGTCTAAGACTCACAAATGTAGAGAATAGACACAGAAAAAAATTATACCGCGTCCCGTTCATTCATTGTACTTTCCTACAGTGCATCAAGAGCAGTTATGGGTGTCTGTAATTTCACCCATCAATCATGACCACTGTCCACATGATCATTGATTCATTCCAGGCTCTAAAGTAATTATCTGAACATACAGTACATGGTACACTACACCATGTCATTAATTTACAGGACCTTCAGTTTGCCTGCAAGGACCCTTAAAATTATTTATTGGGGTCAACTGAATCCCCACTTTTTCAAGTGAAGGTAAAAGCCTGCTACTAGGTCTTGCTGGAGGATTTATGTTTGTATGGGTCTTCTAAGTTTTTGGACCGCCTCCGTGGTCTAGTGGCAGAGCATCCGCCCGGGGAGTGGAAGGTCCGCGTCATACCAAAAGACGTTAAAAGGTACTTGTTGTTACCTGTCTGGTGCTCGGCATTAAGGGGCTAAAACAAGGACTGGTTGACTCGGAGTCAGTATACTGTGTCTGAGTGGGGTATTCATGTTAAACTGTGGCATGGTATCTCAGTGTGCTGGTACTATAAATTGGCATCAGTCCGGACTAGTACAAGCAGCCACACACACACACACGCACATCCATGCACGTCGCTATATAAGTGCAATAATCTTGGACGCGACATTATACCCAATTTCACCTCACCTCACCTAAGTTTTTGATGACTCATGCATATCAGAGACATCCACATTGCAGCTGATCGTTACTTTTAGCTTCATTCTTACAGCATGTACACAACCAGTCCTAATTGCCATCTGAGGCAATCAGTTAATATTCTCTACCGTAATAGCCTAATGAATTCTTCATGACAAATGGATTGAGAAGGATTATGTTTTATTGCTAAGGTGGTAATGGCTTGTTTCAGCTTTGGAAATCAATAATAATTTATTATTTGTGATCACTCATGCATATGTGACGATTGTCACCATGACAGGTATTGATTGGGGTGAATTCTCTGAGACCCTGTCCTGGCTCTGTCATAATGGTTGCAGCTCAGAGATTATGGGTAGTATACGTGAATCTGCATTTCCACTGCGAATCCAATATCCTGCATTATTCTACTTTACATGGTATACGTGACCCTGCATTTCTACTGTGAATCCAATAGTCATTATTTTACTTTACATTGTAAGACGATAAATCAACAGTGTAGCTAATTATGAAAGTCAAGATGTCCTTGTTTGGTTGGTTGGTTGGTTGGTTGTTTAACGCCGCACAATATTCAGCAATATTCCAGCTATATGACGGTGGTCTGTAAATAATCAAGTCTGGACCAGACATTCCAGTAATTGATATCATGAGCATCGATCAACACATTTGGGATCAATGGCATGCATCAACTAAGTCAGCAAGCCTGACCACCCGATCCCGTTAGTTGCCTTTTACGACAAGCATAATCGCATTTTTGGCTCTGTATGGGACGTCACCATGGTCACAAAAAAGGTCCAGTTGTGTCGTCAGTAACTCCTCCTTATGTTTCTTGCACATGAAGGGGGGCATTGGTGGCCCAGTCGTCTAAGGAGCCACGATTCACTGTGCAGAGTTGCGTCCCTTGGGCACACCCGAAACCTATGACTGTGGGTTCGAAACTCGGTTCGGCCCAATTATGTTTCTAGGTTTGTCAGCACCATACCCGTGCTTGTGGGTTTCACGGAAGTGGTAAACATCTGAAACCTGCATCACTTTGGGTGTTCCTCCCACATTAATCTGACACTGTGATATAACTGGAATAATGTTAAAAGCGGCGTTAAACCCAACACACCCACACACGATATATAGGGTTTATTATTCTTTTTAGAGTCAAACAAAGCTATGATCACAAATGTTTCCTAGATATTTTTCTTAGTAGAATATGTCACACCGAAGGCCCGGGTTCGATTCACCACATGGGTACAAGTTAGGCCAGAAGTGAAGCAGGCCTCAGAGGTTTACCACTTCTGGTGAAACCTACGAGCACGGGTATGGTGCTGACAAACCTAGAAACATGAATGGGGCGACTCACGAATTGAACCCACGATCATAGGTTTCTTGCATGCTCAAGAGATGCAACTCTGCACAGCAATTGGGGTGCCTTAGATGACTGGGCCACCCTGTAAGCAGTAAGCATAACCAGGGTGTATTCAGAATGGACAGAATGTACTGATACACACAGGGTCATGAC